ATGCTAGTGTAATCCATACTGATATTTTCAGACCAAATTAACTAGAAAGCATTTACAGACACATTAGCTGTAATGAGTGGCAAATGACTTTATCATAGTAGTATTAAGAGAAAGAATTAAAAATAATTTAGGGCAGTATTTGATTTAAGAAACTGCCTACATATTGTTACTAAACTTACACTGATTTCAAAGGTTTTGATTTTTAAAAAAATTGAACATAGTAAAATTGAAATAACTTTACTGTTTTTAGGGAGCATTATTACAGCAGCCAGACGATCGTGCAACTACTACATCACTTTCTTGGAAACGCATAAAAGGATGCAAATCTAGTGAACAGAATGGAATGGAGCAAAAGACCATTATTTTAATACCCTCTGGTTAGTTTATTCTTTCTGCCCTTGAACATCACAAAGAGAATTAAAATATATGAAACTTTTTTATTTAAGAGCTTTACTCCAAGTGAGAGAGTGATTTTTGTTCCTTAGCAAGATTAAAAAGTAATGAAGTTTTTATGCCTTTTTCTAAATTGATTTATCAACTTTTGTGCCTTCATTGTACCCTGTAAACACTTCTGACGTAGCACCAGTTAACACTTGATTGCATTTACTTGTTCCCATAGCTGTGGGTTTTGCCTGATAGACTAAAAATGCTTCCAGAGCTTATTTGCATTGTTTTCTCCAATACCTAGTGATAGTGAGTGTTTAACAATATTCATTAACTAGGTGAATGCATACTTAGGTATCTCTTTGTTTTTCAGATTTAGCATGTAGACTGCTGGGGCAATCAATGGATGAGAGTGGACTACCACAGCTGACCAGTTATGATTGTGAAGTTAATGCTCCTGTACAAGGCAGCAGAAACCTACTGCAGGGTGAAGAATTACTCAGAGCTTTGGATCAAGTTAACTGAGCTTTTTCATAATCTCATTCCTTTTTTTGGACACTGGTGGCTCATTACCTAAAGCAGTCTATTTATATTTTCTATATCTAATTTTAGAAGCCTGGCTACAATACTGCACAAACTCTCTTAGTTCAATTTTGATCCCGTTTATACTTAATTTACGTTTATGCTCTTTTTTAGTACGTTCTTTAATGCCAGATCACAGCGCATTTTCACAGTTCTTTGGTATTTAAACCATTGCATTGCAGTAGCATCATTTTTAAAATGCACCTTTTTATTTATTTATTTTGGGCTAGGGAGTTTGTCCCTTATCGAATTATTTTTAATAAGATGCCAATATAATTTTTTAAGAAGGCAGTAAGTAACCTTTCATCATGATCAGTTTGAAAAATTTTTACTCGGTTTTTTTCACATTTTACATAAACAATAATGATTTGCTGGCAGTACATGGTAGCCACAATTGCACAATATATTTTCTTAAAAAAATACCAGCAGTTACTCACGCAATATATTCTGCATTTATAAAACTAGTTTTTAAGAAGAACTTTTTTTTGGCCTATGAAATTGTTAAACCCTGGAACATGACATTGTTAATCATATAATGATTCTTAAATGCTTGTATGGTTTATTATTTAAATGGGTAAAGCCATTTACATGATATAGAAAGATATGCATATATCTGGAAGGTATGTGGCATTTATTTGGATAAAATTCTCAATTCAGAGAAATGATCTTGATGTTTCTGTAGTCAATTTGCCAGCTCAAAAGAAAACAATACCCTATCTGTAGTTGTGGAAGTTTATGCTAATATTGTGTAATTGATATTAAATCTAAATGTTCTGCCCACTCTGTTGGTATAAAGATATTTTGAGCAGATTGTGAACAAGAAAAATCATGTTTTGTTAGCAAAATTGCCTAGTATGTTAATTTGCTCAAAATTTGATGTTTGGTTTTATGCACTTTGTCGCTATTAACATCCTTCTGTTTTCATATAGATTTCAATAATTGAGTAATTTTAGAAGTATTATTTTAGAAATATATAGTTGTCACAGTAAACATCTTGTTTTTCTATGTGCATTGTACAAATTTTTCATTCCTTTTGCTCTTTGTGGTTGGATCTAACACTAACTGTATTGTTTTGTTACATCAAATAAATATCTTCTGTGGACCAGGCCCCCCCTTGCTCAGCTTTTATGTTAAAATAATATTTGCTTCAACGCCTCCAACTCCTAAAATGATTTACCAACAATTTAAGTATTTTATGAAAATTACATTGTCAATTATGTCTACATTCATCCTATTGCTATCACTCTCATGTATACTGTGTTCCTAAATATCATGTTAATAAGAAACCATAATGTTCCACTGTAAAGAGTATGCTTTTAGAAAAGAAACTTGTCATTTATAAATTTACGAACCTATGAAAGTAAAACAGAACTTTAATGTTTTGGGGGCCAGCCCAGTGGCGTAGTGGTTAAGTTCACACACTCCACTTTGGCGGCCCTGGGGTTTGGAGGGTCAGATCCTGGGCACAGACCTGTGCACTGCTCACCAAGCCATGCTGTGGCGGCATCCCACATATAAAGTAGAGGAAGATGGGCACGGATGTTAGCCCAGGGCCAATCTTCCTCAGCAAGAAGAGGAGGATTGGCAACAGATGTTAGCTCGGGGCTAATCTTCCTCACCAAAAAAAAAAAAAATTTTAATCTTTTAATATGAATGGGATGAGTGAAGCAAATCCTGAACATTATAGTCAAACAATGTTATAAGGGCAAGAAATTCCTCTAAAGATTTCTAATCTATTCCCTTTCACAGATGAAATATAGACCACAAATAATAAATGATTTGTTGAAGCCCTAAAGGTAATAAGTGGCAGACCAAAGATTTAAACTCAGGTCTCTGACTCTAATATCAAACTGAGAACAAACCTTGCTTTGTTTTTGTTTTAATGATACTGTATATTTAAAATGTTTTAATTAGCTTTATTCCGTTTCTCCTGTATTTTTTTAATGAAATAGCTATAATATTTCTTTTCTGATTATAAAAGTAATACATTCTCATTCTTTAAAAAAAAAGACAGCACAAAAAGATATAAAAAAGAAACAGGAAGATCACTGTGAATCCCTGCACCGAGAGGTAACAGCAGATTATTTTTATGGACAAATTACATAGGTAGTGCCCGAGTCTTAGGTCCTGCAGCATGAGGTTACAGGAACAAAATACCCTGGACAAAATGAACTAAGCCACAGATCTTAGGTGGTTGTGTTCATCTTAGAATGAAGAAAAGGTGATTACAATTACATGAAAATTGGGGAACAAAAGTTTACAATACTAAGACTCAATCCAAGATTTGGGGGGCACATGTATACTTCACTGTAAATACTATGATCCAAAGTGCTTCTGTATTTAAATACAGATACATAGTACTAGAGGTGGTATTTTAGGGTAAAGTAGTTGTTTCATTTTCCCAGATCAAAATATCAAAAATTCTGCTTAAGTTGAAAACTAGAAGTGTCTGTATAGTTTTCAAATACTGTTAGTAAGTGGTCAGATTATGTAATGACCAGGCATCTGGGAAAATGATCTGAGAGAGAAATGATTTAGAAGAGACAGCCACTTTCAAGGACAGTAGAGCTGGAAGAAAACAAGTACCCACCTATGGGGCATTCAGAAAAGAAACCCCTGGAGTGCTTGAAGCTGTCTGAAACCCAGAACCAGCCCTTCCTTGCCAGCCTTGTGCGCTGTCTCGGACACCATCTTTATAGAATTCTTTATAATGCCTCTATGCTAGAAGTATAACCCTGCCCTAGCAACTATAATTCTATCATAGCTCTTCTCCCCTTAAGATTCCTCTCCCCTCCCTGTGCATGCCTATACTTTCCCCTTCTCTGGTGCTGCTGTGAATGAATGACCACAGTATTATTTTCACACTTGAAGAAAGTATGGCAAAGGAGTTTAGTGTATTTTGTTCATTTGTTCTAAGCCTCACTATTAACCTTGGAACTAGAAATAGTTTCCCAGAGCCTACACTGCCAGGTACAATGGCTCATAGATGAGGAGTTACAATGAATCTAACATCTCTGAAGTACTATATGCTAGACTTTGTGTTAAGCATTCTGCATGTTATCTCACAATCTTCCAAAAACCCCTAGGAATTAGTACTTGTATCTCATTTTTGTAGATGAGAAAATAGTCTTGGACAGGTGGCCCAAGGTGCAGAGCATTTGAGCTGGCTATCAGTGACTCACAGCCCACGGTGCTAACCATCCTGCCGTGCCAGCCAGTCTAGTAGAATGTACCCTTTTCCCCATTGTTAACTGTTTAAATAGCAAATAGAAAACAGTGAGGGTGTAAGGAACTGAGGGTGGGTGTCCCCTGAAAGTAATGAGATCATACAGGATATAAATGGAAATTAGTAAAAGTGGTGTTTTGAAGTGCTGTTCAGTGGGGTTTTAGTTTGAACTAGAGATTCATGCAGACATGACTTGGGTAAATGAGGTGGTGTATGAAAAGCACGTTAAACTAAAAGGCTGTACAAATGTATAGTATGGTTCTTCCAGAGACAGTGAATTTAATGGCATAATAGACATGTTTATTTTAAGTCTGTATAACCTCACAGTTATTGTAAATCCTGAATTCCCCCTACAGTCTCTAAAATAAAGAAAAGATGAACTTAAAGTTAGTGGCTTTGCAGAAACAAACATTCTAAAATTTCTAATATAGCAAGGTCAAAAATAAGTTGCAAACAACACGGAATTTTTTCTTTTTTTCAACAATAGGGTTTGGTTAAATAGAACCTTTGTGAACATGTTGCTAGCTAGAACCAACAAAAATGTAAAGAAAAAAATCTTTTACTCGGGTGTTTTTTTAAGCCGGCCAGTAACCCCTTTGCTTATATTTCATTTCATCCCTTTAAATAGCGCTGAACCTGTTGTCCGAGATCGTTTTACAGAGAATTAGTTCAATCTGTGGAATTTGATACGCAATACTCTCCCTGTAAGATAAAAGCTATACCTTACCACACACCCTCCTATGAACGCCTTCTGAAGCTTTGTTGTGTTCACACCTTCCAGAGGTTTGGACATAATATTTATTCTTACCTGTGGTGGACCGTTTTATCCAAGACGCTGCCCAGACACCCGACCTCCTTGTACTATTTTATTTCCTTTATTCCCTTGTCTTGGCTCCATTCCGGGACGGAGAGGAAAGGCAGGTGCCTGAGAGCGGCAGCGATCAGACCCTCAGCGGAGAAAATACCGAGGATGCAGAAGGGATCGGGCACCCCGTCCGTTCCCGGTGCCGCTGGTACTACATGAGGAGGATGTGAAACCCGAGGCGCCGGGGGAAACTTCCCCAGGCCCCGCCCGCC